GCCCCGCGGTCCTGCCCGGGCCCCCACCCGCCCGGCCCTGCCGTTCGTCGGGGCTTGGCTGGCGACACATTCCTCCGTCACGTACTTACCTGAGGAAGGTGTACTCAGATGCACTAGCCTAGACTGTGAAATTCAGACTCCAGGAGGCCATGACGGCTCTCACCTACAAAGCCAGGGCCTACCCTCCGCTCCCGCAGAGACGCGCCCCCAGGCTCCGTCTGTGGCGCTAGCCAGTGAAGTCTTCATTGTCAATGTTTTTATCTAATTCTGTATATATAACTTATTATATTTTATTATCTCAATAAACACACTACTAAAAGATAGACTGCAGCAGTGCGGGTCCTTTGGTGCATGGGTGGCCGGTGGGGCTGAGTGAAGAAGGCGCTAACTGCTCTGCCCTGACTGTCGTAGCGCTGCGGAGGAGTGCCTGCAGTGCTGGGGCCGGGCCATTCCCAGGGCAGAAGGGACACCGTTGTTTCAAACAGCACTGCACCGCGTCCGTAAGGAAGAGCCTCCCTGGATGTGGGTGTCTGCAGTGGTGCCGGGACCAACCCCGTGGCTCCCAGGGAAGACTGCGCACGGGTTCAGAGATGTACGGGTCTGCAGCTGAGTCCAGCCGAACTTCCCGATCCACGAAGGCTCAGACCCAGACAGGTATCTGACTTGGGGCTCTGCTGTGCCTCCCCGACAGCTGTGCTCCCAGCGCCAGGCTGCAGGGACGGGCTCACCACTGCACCACCCCGGCCCTGCCACAGAGTGCTCAGAGATAGACGGCCACCGTTACAGACTCACACCAAATGCAGACACAAGTGTGAGAAGGAAAACACTACTGCGTGTGCAAAGCAGGGGGGGTGAGCAGCTCACGGGAGAGGCCCCAACCCCTCATGCATTTGCTTTTCCTTTCCTTTCTTTTCTTTTTTCCTATAGATCACATGCATTTGCCAGAGAGACAGAAAGCAAGAAATCACCCCCGACAGGGGTGGCCACGTAGCAATCCCTTCTCCTCCATTCTCCTCTTGGGATTTCGGGTACGCACGCACATGTGGGGGAGCAGCAGGTAGTACTGAGGCTAAAGCACCAGATTCCCACATGGCGACCATGGTTTGGGTCCCGGGCCCAGCATGTTGAAACTCAGGCCAGGGCATGTGTGCCCAAAATCCCGAGAGGAAAAAAGAGAAGAAGGGACTGAGGTGTGGCCTTCCTTCCTGGGGGGGTGATTTCTCACTTCCCTTCTCTCTGTCTCTCTCTCTCTCTGGGTCTCTCCAGTGAGCAAGAGCACATACTCTGTGCAAAAATCTAAAACCAAAATCAAACTAAAATTTCTTATGTTTCCTTCAAGTGGGAATCTGCGGAGGCCTATAGCCCGGACTCACGACCAGTGCCAAAGCCTGTAGTCGTGGTCCTTACCTTGTGCCACGAACTTTACGTCTAAAGGGCTCTTGCATTCCAAGCAGCTTACAGACATTTCGCTTTTAGCTCAACCCCCCCTTTTTATAATTTTGTTCTCAGAGGGCATGTGCACTCACCAGAGAGCAGGAGAGAAGGTAAGTGCCCCTCACAGAGCATGGCCACTCGCAGTTCTTGTCCTCCACTTCCCCTTCCTGCCAGGATTTTGAGCATGCACACACATGTGCCTGACATGTTTTTCTTTTCTTTTATGTTTTATAATTTATACATTAAATTGCTGTACACCATTTAGATTTTTTTTATTATTTATTATTATTATTATTCAATGTTTTTCAAACCTCAGGAGCCAGGATTTAACCTACCAGCAGCCATGATGGTAGGATTTGACCTGCCGTCAGCCAGGATGTAAGCTACCCTTAACCACTGTGCCCTGCCGCCAACCTCATTCATTTTTAGTTTGGGGAATCTCCACTTTTTCCTCAACAGAAGGAGAAACTGAGAGCCCAGCCTTGGGGACGTGAGGAGCTACTCCATTTGGCCAGGGTCTCTTCTGTTAAAGGGACAATTTACACCAGCTGGACTCAGCGTGAGTTACAGTGATCGACTAAATTTGTCCCCGTAGCACTACTTCATCTCTTTCTCTGTGTTCACAGTCGTATTTACTAGCTTCCTGTTGCCTAATACTTCCTCCACGGGCCATCGGACTCTAACGCCGCATTGCCCTGGCAGAAGTAACATATTTATGAGAACTTTTTCTCACTAACATGCTAGACACACTTTTTTTTAGGGACCGGCAGATGGTGTGATAGTTATGTCACTGGACTTCCATGTAGTCCACCGAGTTTTGAGTACTTGACCTGGTGGCCTAAAAAAACACACCGGGCACATGTGCGTGTGTGTCCAAAATCCTGAGAGGAGAGTGGAGGAGAAGGGCTTGTGGCATGGCCATCAGCCCTGGAGGATGATTCCCTGCTTTCTGTCTCTCTGTCTCTCTCTGTCTCTCTGGCAAGCACACATGCCCTATAACAAAAACAAACAAACAAACAAAAAACTCTCTTAAAAAAACACTTTTTTAAAAAATATATATTTTATTTAAATTTATTTATTTTTAATTTGACCCGAGAGAGACAGAGAGAGAGAGAGAAAGCAAGCTGCCAGGTGCG